TATTAATCCTTTCAAAGAACCAACTTCTATTCTTTGAATTCTTTCTGTTTTTCCTGTGGTCTGTTTAATTTAGTTCTGCTTGAATCTTTATTATTTCCTTTCTTCTGGTGACTGTAAGCTTTATTTTCTCTTTCTAATTTCTGGAGATGTTAAATTAAGGTATTGATTTTGTTTTCTTCCTCTTCCTTGATGTGTGCATGTATTGCTATAAATTGTCCAGTGAATACTGCTTTTGCTGTGTCACAAATATTTTGGTATGTGGAATTCTCATTCTCATTTTATTCAAGGAATTTGTTAATTTCATTGTTTATTTCTTCTATTACCCAGTAGTTTTTCAGCAGTGTGTTATTAAGTTTCCGTGTATTTTATTTTATTATCCTTGATCTTCTTCTTGTTGATTTCTAATTTTCTAGCACTGTGATCTGAGAAGATGCTTTGTAGTATTTCACTGTTTTTAAATTGATTGAGGCTTGTTTTATGGTCTAACATATGATCTATCCTGGAGAATGTTCCATGTGCAGTGGAAAAGAACGTATATTGTGCTATGGTTGGGTCGAGTGTTCTGTATATGCCTATTAGGTCTAGTTAGTTGACTGTGTTTAGATATTCTGTATATTTGCTGAGTTTCTAGTTCTGTCCTTTGTCAAAAGTGATATGTTAAATTCTCCTGCTATTATTGTGGAAGTATCTATTTCCCTTTTCACTTCTGTTAAATGTTATGTATTTTGAGGCTCTTTCATTGGGTGCATAAATATTTATTAAAATTACTTCCTCTTGTTGGATTGACCCTTTAATCACAATTTAATATCCTTCCTTGTCTCTTTTATGATATGTCTTAGTGATTTTCTTTTGGGATCTATCCTATTTGGAGCTTGTTGAACTTCTTGAATGCATATCTTCTTATCTTTCATGATCTTAGGGAAATTTTCTTGCAAGAAATGTTCAATAATTTTCTCAGTGATTTTTTTTCTCTTTTTCTAGAATTCCAATCACAAATCAGTTATTTCTCTTGATAGTATCTCAGATAATTCTTAGGCTTTCTTCATTATTTTTCTTTTTCTGATTATTCCTCTAACAGATTATTAAGAGAATGGTCTTCAATTTCGCTAATTCTGTCTTCCATTGATTCAGTTTTACTTCTTTACCTTTTCAATGTGTTATCTATTTCTGAAATTTTAGTATTGATCTTATAGGTTTATATATACTGTTTTTCTATGATTTTTATTTTTCCATTTATTTTGTCAATTTTTTCTTGTATTGTTTTCTAGAGTTCTTGTAGAGTTTCATCTGTGTTTTCCTTGATTTTGTCTACGATTTCCTTGGTGTTGTCTTTGCTTTCCTTGATCTATTTCTTAATCTTAAGGAATCCTAAGCAAAATTCTTTTGAATTTCTCATCAGGACATTCCAATAGCATTTCTTCCTCTGGAAGAATTTCTGGCCTTGTATTTTTGTCACTTGCTTGCTCCATCTTATTCTTGTTTGTTACCTAGTGCCACTCTAACAGAAATATCACAAATGGGATGGCTTAAACAAACAAGAGTTTATTCTCTTACAGTTTGGAGACTTTAAGTCTGAGTTCAAAGTGCCAGGTTCTATGGTCTGGGTGAAAGTCTCTTAACCTTGGGCTTCAGCTCTGCCTCCTGCTCCCAGCTCACTGAAGCTGGAGGCTTTTCTTCACTCAGACAGTGGCTGGCTGCTGAGGCTGACAAACCCAAGGTCAGCAAGTGAAAAGGCACAGTCCCAATATTATCAGGCAACATGGCAGGCCATTAATTCAAGTCCATTGTAACTTCCAAAGTCAGCAAAGCATGGCTGCTGAACAACGACTCAGCTATATGCAGGGTTCAAGTGTGCCCTAAGCTAGAGACCATTCCCAAACCTGCTTCTTATACATGGGAAGCAGACCACATTCCTAAAGTAACTACTCAGCTGCTTGCAGTAGATCCCACCATAGAGTTGATTGCCGGTCTCATCATGGGGGAATAACTACCACCAGCTGCCCAGCCACTCAGCCAGGCTCAGCCAAGTTGGCACACAACTTTAACTACCACAATCTTGTCCTGTTTTTTTTATTATTATTATTATTTTTATTTCTTTGATTTGAGGTTGTTTGTGGTCTCCAAGACATTGTAGTGTTATTGTATTAATTTGTTGATTGTATGTTGGTGTGATTCCCTCTGATTTTTATTTTGTTTTATTTTAATTATAGCCAGGCAACAGGGTGGGTGTACTATTCTGGTCACTAGTTTGGCATCACTGTGATGTTCACCACCTGTCTCCAAGTGAATTTGGTAGAAAGTAGGAGTGTGGGCTTGAGTGTCTAATTGCTGGTCACATATAGCAGCTGAGGATAGGTTGGGAGTGTGCGGCTGCCATCTGTCATTGATCCTGTGGTGCTAGAATAGGTGGTGCCACTCACTCAGTGGGTGGGGTCACAGATGTGGCAGGTTTGGTTGGGTGGTGTTGCTGGCTCCCAACTTATGGAGAAAAAATAAAGGGAGGGAGGGAGAAGAAGAAAAACAAACAAACAAGAGGGCAAGAGAGAAGAACTAAAAAGAATGAAAAAGAAAAAAGAATAGGAAAAAAAAAAAAAAAACAGTAAAAATGGCTGCAGTGGGAACATGCTGTTCACCTTGTAGGAATGTGTGTGAATGCTGCTGATCATGGAAGTGGCGAGGGGCATGGTGCCTGCTTCAAAGGATCAAAAAAGAAATAAATGAATTTTTAAAAAGAGGGGAGGGGAAGGAAAAAAGAAAAGAAAACAGAAAAAAAGAAAAGGTAAAGAATATGAAAGAGAAAGTAAAAATAGGAGAAAAAATGTGGCATAGTATTGGTGCAAGTGCTAGCTACTAAACACGGAAGCATGCACCACTAATTGCTGCCCACCAAGGAGGTGTGTGCACTGTGGGATCACACACCACTATCTGCATAGGTGGTGGGGGTAAGGCACCTGATCCTAGGGATCAACAAAAAAAGGTGCTGGGGAGGGAAAGGCACACACACACACAAAAAAAGAACAAAAAAAAAAGAAATAATAGAGGCGAAGAGGGAAGAACTAAGAAGAAAGAAAAACAGGAAAAGAAAACAGAAAAAATAGCAGCATAGTATGGCACAAGCACTAACTGCCAAAACAAAGCTGTGGAGGGCACATGGTGTTCACTCTGCAGAAGCACGTACAAGTGACTGTGAAGGGGTCAGGGCAGGAGCTGCTGCAGCTGGAGGCCGCGGGTCATGTGCCACCCCCTCTGTAGGATCACGCACCAATCCCCAAGGATGCTTTGCTGCCTGCCATGGAGGTGGTAGGGGTAGGGCACCGACTCCATGTGATCAAAACCAAACAGGTAGCAGAAGAGGAAGAAAAAGAAAAATCAAGGGGCAAGGAAGAGGGAAGAACTAAGTAGAAAGAAAAAAAGAAAAAGAAAAAAGCAGCATAGTATGTGCACAGGTGCTGATGTGGTGTTCACTCTGTGGGAGTGCACACTGCTAACCACAGAGGGGCGGGGGTAGGGGAGCACTGCATGGAAGTGGCAGGAGGTGGGTTCCTACTCTATGGAATCATAATCCAAAGGCGAGGGAAGAGGAAGCAAAATAGAAAAGTACAAAAGAAAAATGAAAGGGAAGGGGAAGAGGTAGAACTGAGAAGAAAGAATATAAAATAAAGAAGAAAGAAAAAAATGCAGTATAGCACTGGCAAGAGTGGGGTGTCAGGTTAATGGGACAGGAGCTGTGCATCTGGTCATTGGGTGTTTATGCAGGGTAAGAGAGGAGATCGCACTCCTCTGGTCACCGACTCTGATGTGGGTGCCGGTGCAGTCCTGGCAAGCAAAGCTGGTTATATGGTTCCTGCCCCAATCAGAACACTGCTTGTAATAATTCAACATGACTATGCTGTGCCAGGACAGTTTGTGATTCGCTGTTCTGTATGCCTTCCTGCTTGCTGTTCTCATATCATCTCTTTTTCTGATCAGTATATGATCTACTTCTTAATCCTTTCCTTTGAAGCTCTGGATTATAGGACTGTCACCCATAGACATTTCACTTGGTTTCCTAAGTCTTTGTTGTAGCAGGCCTGCCATCTTGGATTGACTTCCATGTCTATTTTTTAATTCACAAATTAGTTAATATATTTTCACTCTGGGTTGTTCCTTAAAGGATCTAAGGTGACTGTCACATCAAAGGCCCTTGGAATGATGTTTTGGATTAAATACTTTTCCTAATTGGTTAGAGTAGAAAGAACATTTTAGATTTTTCTTCAGGAGCTTGGCACTATATATTTTTAAGTCATGTGGTAGACTATATTATTGTTCCCAATTCTTTACTGTCTTCCTGTTATAGCAGTGTATGTACACACACTTTACCCTGTGATTTTGCAGTACCTCTTACTACAGAGAGTGAAACACATTTCCCCTCCCCATTGCTACTGGATTTGCCCATGTGACTTATTTGGCCATTGGAGAGTTAGCAGAGGAAAAGATGCACACAGTCGTTTTAAATGTGTTTGTATGACTTGGCTTGTGCTTACGATACCCACTAGAAGGAGAAAATGCTTCTATAGTCAGTGATCCCAGAAGGAGACTATGCAAGAGCAGATCTGACCCAATCAACAGCCTAGACCCAAGTCCAGATGAGATCACCCAATCACAATCAACTATAAATCCATATTAAAAAATAAAAGAAAGATTGCAGTTATAGGCCTCTGAGATCTGAGGTTATGTGTTTCACAATAAAAATGGAATAATAATGTGGCCTGGGCAGTGTTATGTTCTGTTGTACATAGGCTTGCTATGAGTTGGAACTGACATGATGGCACTAACACCTACCACTACAACAAATAATGTAGAAAAATTACTGTTCTGGTCTTTGGTAGGATACTAACATCTATTTTTTCAGCTGTTGGGATAAAATAAGACAGTATTCAAGAAAGCACTTTGAAATCTTTCAAGTACAGTCTGTGTAAATATGATATATTTAGTATTTTGATATTCTTAAATGTTACATATTTAAAGATTCATTTATGCTAGAATGACATATTCAAGTGACATCTATCTTTTTCTATACATGTACAAATATGTATGTTTTATGAAAGTGATTCTGATAATTAGTAACACAAGTCTGTATATTTCAAATTGATTTTAAGATATAAGTGACATGGCTAAAAATTTAATAATCTTAGAATTATTAGTAAGGGTTTAGTTCAATATATCTCATGCTATAAAAAAACCAAAAAACCAAACTCACTGCTGTAGAGTCGGATCCAACTCGTAGCGACCCTTCCTTAGGGTATCGCTACAGAAGTAGATTGCCCAACCTTCCTACTGAGGAATGACTGGTGAGTTTGAACCACCAGCCTTCTGGTTAGCAGTCAAATGCCTTAGGCACTATGCCACCAGAGCTCCTATCTTATGTTATATTAACCGAAAAAACCAAACTCATTGCCACAAATTCACAGCAACTCTGTAAGACAGAGTAGAACTGTTCCATAGGGTTTCCAAAACTGTAATCTTCTATGTTACATTACAAACTTTAGAAACATGAGTTATAACTTTAATTCTATTATGAAAGAAAACAGATATTTTTTCCTGAATAGAATTGAGGGTATCCTTAAGGAGGCTTAGAGATCTGTAGCATAAAAAGGTATATTTTGTGTTAAAATGAATGGGATTTTTATAGGGCTCATAGTGTTGGATAAGGATCTCTGATGGCACAGTGCCTAAGGCATTTGACTGCTAACCAGAAGGTTGGTGGTTCAAATCCACCAGCTGCTCCAAAGAAGGAAGATGGGGCAATCTACCTACTTAAAGATTTTCCACCTTGGAAACCCAATGGAGTCACTAAGAGTTGGAATATACTCAATGGCAGTGGGTTTAGTTTTTTTTTTTTTTTAAATAGTGTTCGATTATCGAATAAACAAAGTAAGCACAGGCTTACTTGTGCTTACTTACTAATTTGTAGTGAACAATGTCACATTTATTTATTACCCACCTCAGAGATTCTGCTTCTAGCTATGGCTGGCATCTGTCTTCCTCCCAACCCCACAGCACCTTCCTACAGAATAAAATTTTAAATCTACAATCCTGGACAGGGATGGAGTACCCATAAGCAAGGTAAGCATTGGCTTACTTGTGCTTCCTTATTAATTTGTAGTGGACACTTTCACATGTGGTTAAAAAAAATGTGAAATAGTACACTTCAGATTAGTAAACAAACACAAGTAAGCCCATGAATACTTTGCTTCTTGGGTAATCCCTCCTGAGGGCTCAACTTCAATGTATTTGCTGATGAAGATACTTTCTTCTTTTTCACTCCACACCACTGCAAGGGTTCTGACAACTGACAGCTAGAATTACCACCTCAAGTTCTAAGTACCTTAGGCTCTTTACAGTTTCAAGACAATTTACTTGGTAAAAGGAAAGCATTCCATTACTATTATTTTAGATGCTGTGCTTTTATTTATTGATTTAATATATCCATGTGAAAATACAAATTGAGTTGACTTTGAAGAAAAAAAGCAATGAAGCCTGCATTACCTGGACCGCTGACATTAAACTGAGGGCTATTTGGGGAGAAGCTGTTGTGTCTCTGGACTCGGCGGCTTGATCGTTTTCCAGGCCACTGAATAGACAGGACTTCTGGCTTGGCTGGCCCTTGCCTTAAACAACAGAGATAACATTTAATCTCAATGTCAGTCTATTGCCTTAAGGAACAACTCTTCAAGCATCAGTCACGAATATTTACTAATGCAGTGAAATGAAAACTTACGGGAGTTACTGCTTGCAAACATGCCCCACAGACCCAAGTGAATTTGGAACTATGTGAATGAATATAAAGAAGAGAATCGTGTGATTTGTTTTTCATAAAATTAATGAGCAAAAACTGTATTTTAGTCTATAATTTAAGGAAAATACGTCTCTTTTCTTGGCCAAACTATCAACAGAAAGAAAAAAAAAAAACATTTACATGTCTGCTACTGTTTTATTTTGTTTAGTTTGAGTACATCTATGGAATTTTCTTTTTTAATTTAATATATTTAAAATATATATATTCATATATTTTTTAAAAAATATTGTAAATAATTCTATAAAATTCATTTCAACAAACAGCAGGTTCCTCTCCACCACCTTCATACCATAATTCCATGCCCCTTTCACAAAAGAAACACTTTTTTTAAAATATTATATTGTGTTTTTATTGAAAGTTTTCACAACATATTATTTTCCTGTTTAACAATTCTTACACAAATTGTTCAGTGACATTCATTACATTTTTCGCAATGTGTTAGTAATCTCATTATTTTCATTCTAGCTTTCCCATTTCCAGGAATCTAGTTTACTTGCCCCCTTACCATTCCAGCTTTGCTTTAGAGTAATTGTAGACTGTTTGTCTCATATAGATGACTTTCTAAGAAGTGTGGGGCTCATGGGTGATATGTGATATTCTTTGTTTTATGAACCAATCTGTTATTTAGCTAAAAGCTTACCTCAGGGGATAATTTTGGTTCAAGTTTTAAAGAGTATCTCAGGACAGTACTCCCGTCTTAATGAGTCCAATAAGTCAGGAATTTTTAAGATTTGAGTAGACAGAACACTTTCTATCAGATGTTTATTTTGGTGTTTACTTTCATATTTTTATATAACATGATGAAATTACTATTTCTTTATTTTTCTGTTGTTGTTGTTGTTATTTGCCGTCGAGTCGGCCCTGACTCATAGCGACTCCTCCTTGGGTTTCCGAGGCAGTATCACCACGGAAGTAGGATTGCCCAACTTTCCTTCTGAGGAGTGGCTGGTGGGTTTGAACCGCCAGCCTTCTGGTTAGCAGTCAAGTGCCTTTAGGCACTATGCTACCAGAGCTCCTTTATTTTTCTGTTAGGCTTGATCTATTAACTTCCAAATATGAAAAGCTCAGGCCAATGCTAAGTGTAAGTATTTTAAAGAATGCCTAGAAAGAGCTCTGGTAGCATAGTGCCTAAGGCACTTGGCTGCTAACCAGAAGGCTGGCGGTTCAAACCCACCAGCCACTCCTCGGAAGGAAGATGGGGCAATCTACTTCTGTAGTGATACTGCCTCGGAAACCCAAGGAGGGGTCACTATGAGTAGGGTCCGACTCGACGGCATTTAACAACAACAACAAGAAAGAGCTTAAAACAATCTGATTCAGTTGGGAGGCAAGTCTTTTGTCTTTCTCTATTCATTCTTTTTCTCTTGCTTGGAAAGTGAATCTGATAGCTGGAATTCAAATAACTGTGTTGGCCTATGAAGCAAATTTGAGAATAGAAATAAACACGATATGAACAAGACAAAAACTCAATGATAAATTTGAAAAGCTGCCATACTTTCCTAATACCGCCAATTACTAGACTTTTTTACTAGGAAATAATAAACCCTTATGTGTTTAATCCTTTGTTTTTTGTTTGTTTCTAATATGCAACTGCATCTAATATTAATTTACTTATCCAAAAATCTTCCTTTCCTATCAGCCTCGGGATTCCTTTGGCTTCTCTTCTATGTTAGACTCCTTTTTTAATGGATTCTACTTTTCTCTTAGCTTACTTCTTTGTTTTGGTGGAAAAACAAACCAAAACCAAACCAGTTGCCATTTAGTTGACTCCAACTTGTTCCCATATTTGGCAGAGAATTATGTCCCATAGGGTTTCAATGGCTGTGGTCTTTGGAAGTAGATGACCAGGCCTGTCTCCTGATGAGGTGCTTCTGGGTAGACTAGAACGTCCAACCTTTCAATCAGCAGCCGAGTGTTTAACCATTTGCACCACCCAGGGGTAACTGCTCTATAGGAAATGGTACACTATGAGAAGAATGGTTCTTGAGATTTTGAAGAGGTACCAAACCATCTTTTTACCCCCTCCTACCTTATTGACTCAATGGCATACAGCAACAACACCTTATTGAAAGTGGGTTTACAAAGAATTCTAAGTTGCAGATCATTTTCTCTCAGAGAAGGAATTGCTCCATCGTATTCCAGCTTTCAGTGTCACTATTTAAAAATCTAGTGTTGTTTCTTGATCCTTTGTGTACATAACTTGTTTCTTCTCTCTGGGAGATTTTAGGTACTTCTCTTTGTCACCAGCATTTTGAAATTTGATAATGGTATGCTTTAGTGTTCGGCTTTTGCGGTGTAGTAAATTACTTAATGTGGCTTTTCTAGCCATAAGTCTTTGTAAACTCTGTGGTGGAATTTGCTGTGAGCAACTGAGGAGCTCCTGATTGTAAATGTTATCCACCTGTGGTATTTCTGTTGGAAGTGACACAAAGCAATGTTCTGGGAAGTTTGCTCTCTTTCTCAGGTGCTTAGAATTCTGATGTTATGATTGGTTGGTTTGGCCACTCTGCCGGGCTCAAAAGGAGGCCTCCTAAAGGCAGAAGTCTCTCTCTCTGACTGCTGGTTGAGGAAGACATGCTGCTGAAAGAGACACATGCTCCTGAGAAACACACACTGCTGGGAAAGAGACGCAAGAGACACATGTTGCTGAGTGAGACACCAAGGGACACGTGCTGCTGGGAAAGAGACTGTGAGAGACTGTTGGCTGAGAGATGGTAGGCTGGGAGAGAGACTGAGCATTTTTCCTGAACTTGAATTGTAGCCTGGTGCTTCCCTAATAAACCCCATAATCTGTGAGTTCTATGTGGCCACTGCAGTGAATTATCAAAACCAGGAGAGAGGTGGTGGGTGCTTTGGGAGGAATGAACGGTTGGTGAAAGGGCTGGAGGGAGGCAGCATGTCTGGCCTTGCAGGAATAGGCCTTGGTTACTGATAATGACTCTGTCTTCCTCTTATGGGGTTAGAGGAGGTCAGGAGATGTGGCCTCCTTGTCCTTTAGCAGCTTTTTATTAGTTATTGTAATGGACTCATGGTTTATCCTTATACCTGATATGGATGTTCTTCAATTGTGAGAAATTTTCTTGAATTTTGTAGTTAGCTCTTGTGTCCTGTTTCCAGAGCTGTCCCCCCCCCTCCCCCCGCCAATTATTGAATCATGGAACTGATCCTCTAGTTTTCTTTCTTCCTATTTTTTATCTCTTTGTGGCAATTTCATCATGTTTTTCTTTTGAAACCTCCATTAGAGGTTTTCATTTCTGTAATAGCCTCATATGCATGTGAAAGCTGGACAATGAATAAGGAAGGCAGAAGAAGAGTTGATGCTTTTGCACTGTGATATTGGAGAAAAATACTGAAAGTACCCTGGACTGCAAGAAGAACAAACAAATCTATCCTGGAAGAAGTACAGCAGGAATGCTCCTTGGAAGCTAGAATGGCCAGACTTCGTCTCACCTACTTTGTCATGTTGTCAGAAGGGCCCATTCCCTAGAGGAGGACATCATGCTTGGTAAAGTGGAGGGTCAGTGAAAAAGGGGAAGATCCTCAACAAGATGGATTAGCATAGTGGCTGCCATGATGGGCTCACGTATAGCAAGGATTGTGAGGTTGACGCACAAGCGGGCAGTGTTTTGTTCTTTTGTACATAGAGTAGCTATGAGTCAGAGCCAACTTGATGGCACCTAATGACAACAACAATTACACTTATAATTTTAAGAGCTTTTTGTGTGCTTTCAATTTTTTTTAAAAAAATATAGATCCTGTGCTTGATTCGTAAGTGTAATATCTTCTCTTAACTTTCTGAAGTTACTGATGATTTTCTTTTGAAAGTTTTATTCTACTCTGAATTATTTCTGTATCTTGTCTTTCTTTTTCTCTATTTCATTTGCTCTTTGACTCTCATGTTAGAGGCTTTTCCCCAGATACCTTGTGGTCTTTGTTTGCCGCCTCATAGCTGAGAGGGAGGAAGTACAGGCTGATTGAAGCCTCTGTGTGTTTGGTGGGGTTTGCCAACTCCCAGCCTTCAGTGTAGAGTGGTATAGCAGGACCCACTCATGGGGGACCTCAACTACTTCTATCCTTAAGTCTTTTCTCTTGGACTTATGAAATCTCTTATAGAAGTTTCCCCTACAGAATGGAATAAGTGTGTCTTCCAGTGCTGTGGGAAAACTCTTTGGTGTCAAGTTGATTCCCACTCATAGCAACTTTATAGAACAAAGTATGATTGCCCCATAGGGTTTCCAAGGCTGTGATCTTTATGGAAGCAGACTGCTTCATCTTTCTTCCACAGAGTGGGCTGGCGGGTTCAAACTACTGACCTTCTAGTTAGCAGCTGAGCATTTAACAATTACAACACCAGGGCTCCTTACAGTGTTGCAAAGGGGCTATAAAATCTTTGGTAGCATAGTGTCTAAGACACTTGACTGCTAACCAGAAGGCTGGTGGTTCAAACTCACCAGCCACTCCTTGGAAGGAAGGTTGGGCAATCTACTTCCATAGTGATACTGCCTCAGAAACCCATGGAGGGGTTGCTATGAGTCAGGTTTGACTCAATGGCACACAACAACAACAACATAATGAACAACCCTGGAAAGGAGAAAATCAGTTCTAAGCTAGGAGAAATCAGTCATATGCCTGAGAATAGAAGAACTCTGGAAAAGACAGCAAATTTGAAGACTCTGTTATGAAAATGGGGAGCTCTGGTGGCGTAGTGCCTAATGCATTTGACTACTAACCAGAAGGCTAGCAGTTCAAACCCACCAGCCACTCCTTAGAAGGAAGGTTGGGCAATCTACTTCTGTAGTGATACTGCCCTGGAAATCCAAGGAGGGGTTGCTAAGAGTCGAGTTTGATTTGACAGCAGTGAATTTGGTTTGGTTTTATTATGAAAATGAAATCTATGTATCTATAATTAAACTAATTCCCAGAAATCTAGTTTGTGAGAAAGAGAGGTTTATGTAAAAGGACAGGGATCCTTGAGAGGGAATCTTCAGTATAAAACAATGATTATTCTTGTCATTGGTTATTAGGTACTTTCATAAGACATGGAATTAAAGAGGCTTCCAATAAGCCCAGGGCAGATACAGAGTGTTGTAGAATGCCATCTGAAAATCTCACCTCTGTGACATTCCAGTTGTATGCATCCCTTCTCTCTGAAATTGCCCTTTTCACATGAATAGACACATACATTTTGCCAAACATGGCATATCTGATTCATTACTGCAGGATGAATGACACTGTGTGATTCTACCCTGGGGTTGATAAATGGACTAGTGACTTCTCAAAACTTGCTACATTCTGAGGAACTTCTGTTCCACAAATACTAAATTTTCACAAACAGTAAGCTCCAGGGTAATGTTGATGCACACACACACACACACACACACCACCCACTGTCATCGAGTCAATTCTGACTCATAGCAACAGTTGATGCTGAAGGGGAAGCAAATTATTACAGCCCTAGAAATGTTAATGGTATCTGTGGGTTGCAACTCTTGACTATGATAAAATCTTTCCTTGTAATACAAAAAGTCTGATGAAATTTTTGGATACCCTTATTTGAGATTTCCTTGTTGAACCCAGTTTCCTCTTCCCTAAATCTGTATGGTATACCTCTGTTTGACTAATTTTCCTTAAGCATTATATTGTTGTTTGACTCTGATACACAGACGGTCACCAGACATTGAAGTTGACTAGACAGATGGCAACTGGCTTACTATAGGAGTATGTGGTGGTGGAGTTACAGGTATCTAATCCTGTTTTGAAAGCACAGAAGTCTCCCAGAGAAAGTAAAGTCCAAAGAGTGACCAAATGAATAAAAGGGGTTAATCAGATGAGAAGGCATGGGTGTCTAGGGTGAGTGAGGTTATATATCTGAAATGATATTTTCTGCCATTCAAATCCACTCCATGTGCAAGTCTTATCTTCCATGAGGTTTCTTCACTGATCTCCTATTTGATATCATGGGAAAGAGATTGTAGTTATTTTCAGAAGGTTTGGATTTATGTAACCTTATACTGAGTGGTTGAATGAACCAGGGCAAGTATGGCAATTTAATTTTTCTGCTTCATCTGTAAAATGGGGATATGATCTTTGTAGTTTATTCCTTTGGGATATTTTTAAGCAAATGAGATTTTTAACAATTTATATTAACTTATAGTAAAGGCATTTGACTACTAACCAGAAGGCTGGCAGTTCAAAACCCATCAGCCACTCCTCAGAAGGAAGATTGGACAATCTGCTTCCATAGAGATACCACCTTGGAAACCCAAGGAAGGGTCACTATGAGTCGAATTGACTCAACGGCTGTGAGTTTGTTTTTTGGTTTTTATAGTAATCACACTGTGTGTGCATATACATATACACCTATCAGAATTGTACAGTTCAGTGAATGTTTATAAACTACATACACCAATGCAAACATTACCCAGCTTAAGGAACAGAACACCATGAACGGTCACCCCTAAAATCTCTCCTCATGTTCCCTTCTAGTCATTATTCACTAAGGATCATCTCAACCCTGACTTAGAACAGCATAGATTAGTTTTGCCTATTTTTGTTCTTTCTAGTGAATGGAGACACACAATATGTATTGTTATATGTCTGATTTCTTTTGCTCAATATTTCTTTGGAATGTGAGAGTCATTCATTTTGTTGTGTGCAGTTGTAGATGGCTTATTGTCACTGCTGAATAATACTCCATGGTCTGAAGATATCACAATATATTTATCCATTTTTTGTTTGACAGGAATTTGGGTAGTTTTTAGCGTTTGGCTTTTATGAATAGAGCTGGTATGCGCCACAAGCCCAGGAATGGGTAGGACCACCAGAAGCTAGAAGAGGCAAGGAGGGACCCTCTGCTAAGCATGCAAAGAGAACATGCCTCTCTCTCACCCTTACCCAACACCCTGAATTAAGATATCTATCCTCAAGAACTGTGAGAGAATAAACTTTTGTTGTTTGAAGCCATCCACTTTGAAGTAATTTGTTATGGAAACTCTGGGAAACTAATACACTCCATGTTCTCCTTTCTGTCTCCATTTGGACAAAGGAATGGCTGACCCAGGGCTTGACTCAAGAGTAAGCCTCTTTCTCCTCTCTGACTTTTCTCCACTGGTGAGGGGTCTGAGGCTCTCCTGACTTGGGATCTGATGTCCAGTTGATGCTAAGATATAGCTTTGGGAGAGGATATGCACCCCCTTTAAGTTTGGGCCTAAGTTACATGTGTCAGTCTGTTCGCCAGAGACTCCACACTGGACATTAAGGGCATAAACCCCTAGCAATACCTTAACTTCTATTTGTTTGTCTGTATATTTTCTTGAGACACCTTTCAGAGAGTTGTTATCAGTGATTTGTGGCAGGATTTGGGCCTCCTTTCCCCAAATACTACTATACAAGAGCATTCCCCAAACTGACATCAAACCTGTAATGTTTCTCATTTTTTCCAAACTATTTTTGAACTAGAAGCCTGGAAATAACAGATTCATCCATCCTCTAGTGCCTCTCACTTTCCTCACACACTGAATTATCATGCTTCTTCCCATTAAACACAGCTGCTGCAGCTGTGTTGGCCGCAATCACAAGAGTTCAAGGCCAGCTCAGGAGCTAAACAAAGAAAGGTGTTTCATTAAAAATTCACCATGTTGTGGTAAAGAAAGAACACAAGTTTGCAGGAGGTGACTAGGGAAAGAAACAAAAGCACAGGTGAAGGGGCTGAGTGAAGCCTTTCACAAGCCTCTCAGGTGGCAAATGACTGATTCTAAAAAGGGAGAATCCATTTTATTTCCAGAAAATCTAATCAAAAGAAACAACAAAGCAGGTCTTATTTTCTCATAAGGAACATGAATTCAATTTCATTGTGCTTCAAGACATCTTGTTTTTCTCTGCTCAAAGTGGAGGAGCTGCATTGTTGCTTTTCTAAAGATATGTTACGCTTTGCCATTTGATATGGAATCACAATGCAGTCAAAACAGGAAGCTTATAATGTGATGAATGGTGCACAGATCCCTTGAAGAGTGCACCCTGTGCGCATCGGCTGCACGAGCTCACCAGTTCTGGAATTATAGGCTTTTTAGTTAGAGTTTGATGGTGCTCACTCATTTTGACATTGTAAACACAGTGGTTGAAAGTTCCATTTTTTTTCTTGAGATATCCTTATAATAATGTACTCATATAGTTCTTTAGAAACATTGGCCCTTCAGAGTAGCCTATTATCAGCCTGTTCAGAGAACTTACTTTGTGGTTCTCCTTAATTGCATACCAAACCAAAACCAAACTCACTGCCATCAAGTCGGATCCGACTCCTAGCGACACCTCCTTGGGTTTCCGAGGCGGTATCACTACAGAAGTAGATTGCCCAACCTTCCTTCCGAGGAGTGGCTGGTGGGTTTGAACCGCCAGCCTTCTGGTTAGCAGTCAAATGCCTTAGGCACTACGCCATCAGAGCTCTTCCTTAATTGCACACGGGAGAGTTAATAAGTCCTATCTTTAGGTTTAAAACAACAAACCAACTAGGGAAAATTAGTAGTACAAGCAAGAGTGTTGCCAATCCTCCTCTATTTTGCAAAATATAAGAAATGATAAGTCAAGGAAGTGTCACCTATTGTCTGGAATTATTCTGATGTCTCCTTTACACATTTCTCATTCAGGTTTCCCATTAGCATCAGTGCCTTTATTATATGACTATTATATTACTGCTTATCTTCTCAAGAATACAAACTGAAGTTTGAAATCTTTGCCCATCATTCATATTTTTTAATTACCTTAAGTATTTTGTTGTTGTTGTTGCTATGTACCGTCGAGTCGGCCCCGACTCATAGCGACCCCTCCTTGGGTTTCCGAGGCAGTATCACTACGGAAGTAGATTGCCCAACCTTCCTTCCGAGGAGTGGCTGGTGGGTTTGAACTGCCAGCCTTCTGGTTAGCAGTCAAGTGCCTTAGCCACTATGCTATCAGAGCTCCCATTTCTCTTACTCTTCTGAAATCCCTTTATTTCCCTTTTTCTGTGGTATTTATGACTTTTCACCTTGCATTATAATTTCAGTATTCATGTATTATTTATTTAATAGATTTTAGTTTCTGTAAGAATAGAGATTATGTAAAATATATTTATACCAACCCCTGTGTCTCTTAACATTTTTCCCATCTCCTAAGTTCTCAACTAAAATGTGTGGAATGAATGATAGATAGTAAAAGCAAAAGTGCAAAAGACTTTTCAGAGGCAAATATAATTTCAAGCACTAGTGCAGGTCCCCATCATTATTTTGTAATCTATTAATTCTCATTTAGTTTTCACTGGTTTAAGCAACACACCTCTCAACTGGTTCTTCATACACGTACAGTCACTAAAGAGACATTATAGGAAAGCATGTAACTTGCCTTTCTTGACGAGTTTGCTCTTCAGTAGTTTCCATAGCACATTCCAGGGAATTTTGGAGAGACTGCAGCTGATTCAAGGTCTCCTTCAATAAAAATCGAGTTACAAATTGTTCCAAATTAGAGGCCTCCTGGTAGTTCTAAGGGTGACAAAATAAAGCAATTAGATATATGGTATGGAAAAACAACAAAGGAGATGGTCTTGCCCATGTAAATTCAGGCTGATCCTAGGGAAGGATAGATGAGAGGGAAAAGGAGGTGAGGTTGCTACCATGTTGGGACCTGGAGTTCATAGCACTGCTGTATCCACTGACCTGAAGAAGATGAATGACAGCTCTACAGAAAGACTGGAATGTATTACCTCAAGATTTGAAAAAGAACAAAACCAAGCAGAATTACTGAATAGACATCTGTATACAAAGAAAAAAAATATATATCTGCAACTAAAACACTAGAAAGTGACTAACTCAGGGTTTGTTGTGTTTCATTTAAATGGATGACCATACCATTATGTATTTTTCTCCATTACCAATTAAATGGAGTCACGTTTCAGCAATTGGCTTAATTCCCTCTTGATGTATTTATTATGCCTGATGTCTGTA